ATCCAGGCAACACTCCGAGCGAGCAGGCCATCAGGCTTTTCCTTTCCTCTTGAAGCAGGAAAGGAGGAGATGATGGTCCTCAGGTGGTTTTTTTTTCGTTCAGACAGCGGGCTGTGCCTGCAAAGGGGCGCCGCCCGCGGAGGTTGCAAAGACACCATCGCCTGCAGTAGCCTGCCCTGCCCGGTACCCGCATGCGGTCCTACCCTGCATTCCCGTTGGGTGGGCTTCGGCCGCAGGGAGCCAGCTGCAGGCATCAGCGGAGCCGGGATTCCCGGCGTGCGTGTGTGTGGGGCGGGCTTTTCGGGAGGGCGGGGTTTAGGCGCGCCGTAGAGGGAGGGGAGGAGGGGGCGGCCGGCCGCGGGGAGGGAGTGAGTCACCTGATCGCTGCCCGCGCGGCCCGTCGGGCTCGCTCGCTGCCGTCAGTCGGGCCGCACCGCGTCTCGGCTGTGGTGAGTGGCTCGCGCGTCCCGGGCGCCCTTCGCCCGGAGGGTTCGGCGCGGCGGCGGCGGCGCGCGGTCTGGGCCGTCGGCCGGTGAGGGGCGGTCTCGGGCGGGTCCGGGGGAGGCGGCGGAGGGGAGGACTCGGGGCGGCAGCTCTCTGGTTCTGGGCGGCTGGCGCGGGGGGCCTCTGAGCGGGGCCCGCGCGGGGCGGCCGCGGGCTCCGGTTCCTGGAAGTGGCCGCGTCTGCCGGAAGGGGCGAGCGGCCCCGCGCGCCGCCGGCGCCGCTGTTTACGGACCGGCTCTGTACTTTACCCGGCGCCGCGGGGCTGGGGTGCCCCTCCGCCGCCTCCCGGGCGCACCCCACCCCCGCCCCGATCCCGCGCGCCCGGCTGTGACACCTCAGCACCGCCCGCGCGGCTGGCCCGGCCCGTCCTGGCTCCGTATTGTTCTCCCGCCCACCCTCGGCCGCCGCGGCCCGCGAGCTGTCGGCCTCCCGTCTGCCCAGCCTGGGCGGGGGGAGCCGGGGGGTGTAGGTGGCGCGTGTAATCGCGGACTCCGAAAGGCCGAGTTGGTGGCTGGTGCACAGACACCACCTTGCGGGGCTGGCTGGGTTTAGCCCAAGACTGGTTTGGGGGACCCCCGGGGGATCCCAGGCCCCCTCCCCACCCCCTCTTTGTTGGGAGTTTTGCCCGGCACGCTGTAATTAAAGGCTCTCGCTGTCGGCTGAGATTGGGTGTTGCTCGTAGAGACGCCAGTTTTGTGCGTGTTTGAGGCGAGTGCCGTCGCTCGCGCGTCCTTGCGCGGAGGTTTTTTGTCATTGAGTAGAACGTGCAGAAAGGCTTTTGTGCAAAGTGAGCGTTGGATTCGGGCTGATTCCGAGCTACAGCGTAGTAGTCATTGTGGAAGGAACTGCGTGGGGGGTGGGGGTGGGGAACAAGCTACTGAGGTCAGGCTCGGAGGAACAAAAGGCTGTTTTGTAGGGACGCCTTGTCTTTTGGGGGGAATTCTGTCAGTATCGGGTGTGGAGGGCGGTACGGCTAGACCTTGGGTTCCTGTGTTTTGACACTCCTTATAGCCAGGAGGGTTTGCCTTTCCGGCGGCAGTTCCGAACGGTAAAGGGGTGGAAACACTGGGGCGTGCGAGTGACGGAGCGCGCTTGAGCGCTTCACATGGTCTAGAGAAGAAGTGGGAAGACGCCGGCTGGCTTCTTCCTGGTCTTGGGTAGTGGTGCAAGGGCTGGCTGGACTGGAAAACGCTTGCTACTTCAGCCTTTGGAATAAAAGAAAGATGTTAGTCGTTCAGCTTACCTCGTGGTGTGTAGCCCGCCAGGCTCCTCTGTTCGTGGGAGTCTCCAGGCGAGAATACTGGAGTGGGTTGCCATTCCCTTCTCCAGGGGAATCTTCCCCACCCAGGGATCGAACCTGGGTTTCCCACTTTACAGGCAAATTCTTTACCCTCTGAACCACTAGGGAAGCCTGGGAGGGGGGTGGGTGGGGGGGAGACACCTGGTGACTCAGCTTGCAGTAGGACGGCCTTGGTTTAAGTGATAGCCGGGCATCCTGCGTGATTGTTGTTGTTTAACCTATAACAGTGTCAAGTGCTTTACCATTGTTCAGTTTGTTGGTTGGCTCGCAAGGTAGATGACTCCTTAAAAAGAAAGTTGGGCTGCTGAGTCATTCGCCCAGCCGGAGAGGTAATTAGGAACAGCTGGTGCCGGTAGACTCATCACATGCCTCCACTATAAAAGGCCAAGGAGCACTCCAGAAGGGTTGCTTCAGAGCCCTGAAGCTGGAGTTGTGTGTGTGTGTGGATATGCAGGTAATCAGTGGGTGAGGTGCCAGCACTCTTAGGAAGCGGCCAAGTAATGCTGAGGTGGTGTTTAAACACAGAGCAGCCTCGTGACCTAGTGCCTGAGAAATTTGTGCCAGTGAGAGCTAAACCAGAGGAAGAAATGTGCAGCTAGGAGTCACCTCCCAACAGTACTGTAACAGAAATATTCATTTCTCTTACTGCACTCAGGGTTTTTTTGTTTCCCTGTTGTGGTTTTGCTGTTGTGTGGTGTATACATCTCAGAAAATGCACTTAATCTGTTCTTCATAAAGATTTCTTTAGGAGAACGCCGAAGGAGCCTGCCTCTTGGTTTTTCATGGACCGTGGCTTTTCAGGCGTACAGTAGTAGTTTCTGGCGGCAGAAAGGAGAATGTGGGTGGAATTAACAGGTCTCTTTGGGTCAAGTCTAGAAAGTGCTGACTGATGGAAGGTAAACCATCTGGCTGTCTGTCTTATTGTCTTAGGAGTGATGACGCTGGTGTCTTTCCATGTTGGATCATTACTTCTTGCCTTAGAAACGAGCCCAAGACCCAAGCATACAGTCCCTATTGTCTACAAAATTTAGGGATAGGAAATGTGGACTGGGAGCAGCTGGCCCTCATCTGTGGTCAGAAGAATGAATGGTTGTTTTTTCTTTTTGATGGGCTTTTATTTAAGATATTTTGTAGTAGAAAATGGCGCTTTACGTTTGCAACTAGAAGAAATTGGAAATCATAAAATTTTTTAGGGATTCGGGCTTCTAAGGTGGGTGCCAGATGATTCATTTGGAAGAAAGCAATAAGCCCTTGATTTTTTTTAAACATCACCTCTATAAAATAAGACTGTATATTATCAAGTGTGAAACAGATTGCCAGTCCAGGTTGGATGCATGAGACAAGTGCTCGGGGCTGGTGCACTGGGAAGACCCAGAGGGATGGGATGGGGAGGGAGGTGGGAGGGGGGTTCAGGATGGGGAACACATGTAAATCCATGGCTGATTCATGTTAATGTATGGCAAAAACCACTACAATATTGTAAAGTAATTAGCCTCCAACTAATAAAAGTAAATGAAAAATATATATATTAATCTTCAAGGTACAGACTAACAGTAGTACATGCATGTTTTATAACGTGGATTTTTTGCACACACACCCCCGCCCCCCCACCTTTTGTTGGGAGCATAAAGAGTTTGTTAACCACTGCCAATAATACTCTTTCAACAACTAGGGTTTTTTTTTTTTAAACTTGCGATTTCCTCTTAAAAGCTATCATTCTTTTAAATGTTCTTAATATAAATTTTTATTTCACATGTAGTGGTTTTTTTTTTAATGCTGTGTTCTAAAGATTTAGAAGCTTGAGGGTACATTTTGTCATTATTAATGCTGAGAATGGGAATAACAAAAAATGCTCAGTTGCCCATTGCCTATGATACCATGTATTTTGAATTTGGAGACAAGTCAGGAGGTTGGTTTGTTTCATGGATAGGACCTGAAGTGTAGTAATATGTGAAAGGGACCACCGGAAGATAATCTGCACAATGGAGTATAATTTGTATGTAATATAGTCTTTGAAAAATTACTCTGTGCTGTTACTCCTCGAAGTCTGCATTTTTAGGGGCCAAGTGTACAAGGCGCCCCTTTAACAAGGATTAAAAAGACTACATATTCAGCAGACTACTTGGAAAGTGGCATTTCACCCCTTAGGAGAATATGATTTACTCAGAAAATCAACCTTCCAAGCATGCTGGGGGATGGTGTTTACCATTCAGTTAAAACCATGTAGGCCATATGCCTTTTGCACTGCTGTACTGTGAGAAATGATGTTGAGAATGATGGTCGCAAAGCCCCTTAAAACGGCCAGTTGTCAGAGATTCTCATCACAATGCTGATCCTCTCCAAGACTTAGGTTTAAGGAATCACCTCTTCCTCCCAGCTTTCTGACCAGTGTTCTGTTAAGGGGAGAATTGTCCTAACCCTAAACTCAATTTCCTGAGGCTTCTACATAGGAGACATAAGAGATGCAGGTTCGATCCCGGGGTTGGGAGGATTTCCTGGCGACAGGAATGGCAGCCTGCTCCAGTATTCTTGCCTAGAGAATCCTCATGGACAGAAGAGCTATACAGTCCGTGGGGTCACAAAGAGTTGGACATGACTTGGCACACACATGCACGCACTACTAAATGGTGTATTTTATGTGGTGGAATGGATGACTTATGAAACTATTTAAATTAAAAAAAAATGCCAAATAAGGTAATCTGCCCAAGCCCAAGGTATGGGTAATTTGAGCACTAATTGCCATAATCCAGACCCCTTGGAGAAAGCAAATGTTTCATGACTGCAGATAAAGTAGAGCCGTACACCCACCATGAAACCTGGGCTGGCTGAGCACATAGCATTGACAGAACTGAAGTGGTGGGTCTGATCACTGTACAGTTGACGGAGAAAGCAGTAAGTAGAGTTATTGGAAGTGAGTCACCTAAAGCCAGACTGCTGAAGGCCAAGTTCTTGCTCCGTTACTTACCTGCCGTGAAGCCTCAGACAGGTTACTTCATTTAGTCGTGCCTCCTTTTCTCATCTGTAAAACGGGATGATGATAATAGAATCTGCGTCATAGAGGCGGTAGCAGATTAAGTGCATTAATGTGTTAAGTGTTTAGAACAGTGCTGGCTTCGCGTTAAAAAATGTGCGTTGGTTGTTACTGTCTGTTCTTTAGTTCATTGAAGTACTTGGTTCCAGTCCTGTCTTGCAGCCTCCTTGAGCTGCTTTCAACCATTGATCAGAGAGATTGAAGAGAAGCGCGTGGCTGTGCCGCGCATGGCTGCTGCTGGGGAAATGGCTCAAGTGCACATCCTGACAAATTGCTCGCAGCATCTCAGAGACTGCTGCTGAGCGCAAGGAACACAGGACATGGCTTTTTATTAAAGGGATCAGCCGATTCAAGTCTCCGTCAGACACTCTAGAGGCAGTTGTTACCAGGTAATTGGAATTGGCTTTTTAATAAATGAAAACACCTGCCATCCTGCATCTAATCTGTTTATTCCTCCCTTTATCGTTGAGGACACTGTGATTCGGCAAGGTTAGTAACCTGCACACTTTCTTCCAGACAGAACTGATTTATTAATATTGATTCTCATTTATGGCTTGTATGTTTGTGAATATTTGCAATGTAAATTTACCTGCCAGTTACGTCTAGGTGGTGTACTTTTTTACGTCCCCGTATTAATACAATATAGAAAGGTATCGATGACGAGCAGTGTGTATATTTATCACATAGCTTCTTGTATCTGTTAATAGTTCAGAAAGGTCATGTCGAAGGTTTTGACCATCCTTTTGACAAGAATGTGTCAGTTTCTTACTGACAGTGGTATATGTCTTCTCTTTTATCTCCATGGAACATTGAATGTGATTTGGCTGTGTGTCTTCAGTAAACTGTCAGATGCTGCATTGGTGGTGGTGGTTTAGTCACTAAGTCGTGTCTGACTCTTGCAGTCCCGTGGAGTGTAGCCTGCCAGGCTCCTCTGTCCATGGGATTCTCCAGGCAAGACTCCTGGAGTGGGTTGCCATTTCCCTCTCCAGGGGATCTCCCTGACCCGGGGATGGAAGCCAGGTCAGCTGCACTGCAGGCAGGCGCTTCACCACCTGAGCCGTGAGGGAGGCCCGCTGCATCAGTGGCATGACGTGGGTTCATTTTAGTTCTGCGCTTTGGAAATTGGGAATTTTCGAAAGAGTGAAAGAGAAAACAATGTTTGCTGCACTCTTAAGTTTGAAATGTGTACCAGAATAAAACTCTCAATCACTGAGAATTCTGCTTTCTGTTTGCATCTTGGGTGTGAGGATTGAGAAGGCAGCTGGATTTAAATCATTCTTTTAGTTCATCTCCTAAGATAGAAAGAAAATTTATCTTGTGACTTCTTTGTCCTTGTAATTGACTTACGATTAGATTGAGCAAAATATAATTTGGTTTGTCTAGCTACTATTCTCCTTTAATATGATCATTCCTCTAGAACCGATCCTTTGTGTTATTGAGGATCAGGGTCAGTTTAGAGAACATTAATAGCATCATAAAAATTGTCCCCAAGCAAATATAAGGAACAAAGAGCGGCTGCCAGGATCTTGGTTGTTAATGACTGTCCTAGAAGCACAGTGGGCTCGCCATGTAGTCAGCGGGCTGCTGGCTCCTTTCTCAGTACTGACACCGTGTAGAGAATGTTACCTCCATGCAGCTGGAGCTCTGTGCAAGTCAGGCCTTTTAAAAAGTAGACGTAAGTCATTTTGTTAATGGCTTAGGAAACTTAGTAATCAAAGGATATTTTTGTCAGGAAATAACTGTCCCCCAGGTACTATCTGGTGAAGTCATTTTCACTTTGTCATTTCTTAGATTGGATCTTAGTCATCGTGGTCAGCTGCACTCCATTTCCCCATCCCCTGTTAAAGTCGAATTACATTAAAAAGCATTTTATGTGGTGGGGTCATTTTTTCCATTTGTTTGTAGCCTGGACGTTGGCAGTGTCCCACCTCTAAGGTTATAGACTAATGGTGGTATGCATATAGGGAATGTCTTGCCTCCTCCTCCTGCCTCCCTCTTCCCCAGCACACACACTGATCTCTCTTTTTACTAACTGGTCAGCCTCTAGGTTTCCCAAGGGAGATATTTTTGCCTAAAAGAGATGACCTCTTAGGAGCCTGTTGGAATGGTATGACCCATCCACTTCACTTCCTACTTGGTGCTATCTTCATATCCTTAATACCTTATTCTCCTCTACAGTGTGCCAACGTCTTTTGGAAATCAGTTAAATCCATGAGAAGACGTACTTGTCCTTCAGAAAGTTTGCTATGAAATAGGCAGCTGTAAAAGATTTATTAGTCTTTCAGTGAATTTATTAGGTTTCAATGATAAGGTTGTCTTTTTGGAGTAAGTGGGGTTTGGTAAGATCAGTAATTTCATCACTGATTTCATTATTAGCATTTTGCACTGAACTGTTTTATAAACTGTGATTGTCAGAGCTTGGCTCAAGACACTTTCCATTTTCAAAGTATCTTGTTGTTCAGTCTCTCTGTCGTGTCTCTTTTTGCGACCCCATGGACTGCAGTACGTCAGGCTTCCCTGTCCTTCACCATCTCCTGGAGCTTGCTTAAACTCATGTCCATTGAGTTGGTGATGCCATCGAACCATCTCATCCTCTTCGTCTCCTTCTCCTGCCCTCAATCTTGCCCAGTATCAGAGTCTTTTCCAATGAGTCAGCTCTTCACATCAGGTGACAAAGTATTGGAGCTTCAACTTTAGCATCAGTCCCTCCAGTGAATATTCAGGACTGATCTCCTTTAGGATTGAGTGGTTGGATCTCCTTGCAGTCCAAGGGACTATCAAGAGTCTTCTCCAACATCACAGTTCTAAAGCATCAATTCTTCGGCGCTTAGCCTTTTTTATGGTTTGGCTCTCACATCCATACGTGAACACTGGAAAAGTATCTAGTGTCTCTTTATTTGCTGTTTTTCTGAGGAGTGTTCCCAGCATGGCCCAGGACTCTCCTCTAGATAGGATTTATAACTAAAATTATAAGGGGAAGTAAGAAAAAAGCCATTGCCCTTTTAATCAGTTCTTTCACACTAGGAAGTGACTTTTGAAGTGGAAAAGTGTTTTTGCTCAGCTGAGTAGAGTTCTTTGCTTACATCCCTGCATTCCTAGTTGTCATTCCAAAGGAAGTGCTGGTAGGGCTGAATCTGGAACTGCCCCCAACTCTGCCTGCTTCATTGTCTCTTGGACAGTTTCAGGTACTGTTTAAGCTCTAAATGTATTTCTTTGGCTGTTTTGTGTTGTGTGTGTGCGCGCTTGGCCTTTGAGGTGTGCCTGTTGTCACTGGTCAGGTGCGTTGCCAGCTCCAGGCCCCAGGAGGGCTGGGGCACCGCTTCCTCCCTGGAGCAGGTTGGCAGCTGTGCTGACCAGTGGCAGAGTCACCCAGATACTGGCATGCCTTCCCACCACTGGTTCTCAGATACCAGTGTGGAAACGTCCTTCCCTCTCCTATTCAGTTAACTTTGACCAGCCGTCTGATCCCTGGAGAGTAAAGAAGAATTGTGTCTTCAGGTTTCAAGGCACTTTGCTCTCTTATCTTCCTGTGCATCTGTTCTTCTTCCCAGCTTAACGCACACAAATGCACATTCTGGTGTGTGTAGATAGTAGGGTTGTTAAACTCATTTCAACATTTGGGATATGCCTGTTTGTTAGGCATTGGATTTCCATTTCATTTGTGAAACAAATATTTGTGCTTTATATGCCAGGAATTTTTCTCGATACTGGCAGTGTTTTCAGAGATTATAATCTGCAGGGTAAACCATTACTGTAGCGTGTGTTCATTGCCAAAATAGCAACGTGTCAATTGTGCCTTGAAAATGTAGGATAGAAGAAGCTTAAGTTTTGGGAAATTAAAAAAGCCTAGGAATGTAAATGATGAGTGTATAGTTTAGTGGAAGAAACAGCTTGTCTTGACAGCGTTTTTGAGAAGCTTATCAGTGAAGACTAGAGAAGAGAGAGGTGTTAGTAGGGGGAGGTTGGGTCAGAAAGATTGTGTGTCTGTGTGTGTATGTTTTTAAAAGTAAGGTCAGTGAGAAAAAGTTGAAAATGCAGGCTGTGTGTTTATCTTGCCCATGGCTAGTTCCTCTTATGGTTGCAAGATGACTGCCACAAGTTCAAGTGTACAAGTAAATATGACTAAGTTTCTTGGAAGAAGACTTTTTCTCCTGTGATGCTCTCTATCAGTGATAAAGGCCTGTCCCGAAGACCTCATAGTAGATGCCACCCCAGCCTCTCCTCTGTTGAGTCAGCATTGCTTCCGTGTACGTCTAAACCAGTGTCAAGGGAAGTGGGACCACAGTGACGGGCTGAAATGGACTGTGATTCGTCTTAGGTTGGGACTAGGGTTTGCTACCCCCAGAAACGCATGGCCTCAGGTGGAGTAGACTTGTAGGCACAATCAGGATTTGGTTCGAAAATGAGGAGGGCGAATGATAGCAGGATGACCCACAGGGTCGTGCTTGCCTGCTACTTACACCAACACTACGCACAGACAGGTTCTTTTTTTTTAATTGGAGTATATTTGCTTTACAGTTGGAGTATATTTCTGCTGGACAGCGAAGTGAATCAGCTGTGTGTACACATTCATCCTTTAGCTCTTAAGCCTCCGCCCTCCCCTGAGCCCCTCCATTCCCCCCCCCACCCTGTCCTCACAGAGCACTGAGCCCCCACCAGCAGTTACACAGCAGCTCCCCACCAGCTGTCTGCTTTACACGTGGTAGGGTGTAGATGTCACTGCTACTCCGCAGACACATACTTCTGCGTAGAGAGAGACCATGTGGTTGTCTTTGGATTTGGGTTTTAGGTGGTTTTTTTCCCCCTCTTATTTCCCCCTATGATCAAGTATTATTTCTACAGTCAGATCACATAAATGTTTTATTTTAACGTGATTTAAAAGTTGTGAAAATTTGCCCATTCTACCCCCAAAATTAAGTGTAGAAGGAATATATTTCTTTCGGTCCTCTGAACAGTTCTACAGTTCTCTGTGATCCTCCTACTTGCAGGGAAAGGAGAATACATAATTTTATCTTGTAGCTTCTGATTGTATCTAACCCAAGAGGAACCACTCTCCTTCGACCTCTGTAGGACACGCCCACCTGTGATGAATGTGGCTCTGGTGAGTGGTGAGGCTAGTCCGGCTTGAGCAGTGGGTTCATTGCCTGGATCGGCCAGGATCCTTTGGAACCCATGTCCTTGAATCTGGGATACAAACAGATCTATCAGTCCCTCTTTACACACTCCTTTCCAGAGGGAAAGCTGTCCTGTGGTTAGCTTATTTGCCATACCTTTCAGACTTCAAAAATAATTCCACTTGAGTTTTTACGGTGTTTCTGTCATACTTCTAAACTGTTCACAGCACTTGGATAAGTTCAGAGGACTTTGTTTGATTTTTGTTCCTTCTTCT